AGTGATCAAAATGTACCATCGGTTTTCGTTCTTTTCTCAGTATTATAAAAAATGGGATTAAAGGAAAAATTTTTGATTTTAGTGTACGTTTACAGCGGTTTTATACAAATGACGTAATGAAATTAAAAAAAGATCGTTTCAATTTTTTAAGTAAATGTAACTTCAACATTGAATTACCGTAATAATGAAATCAGGAGCATTAATTAGAAGGACAAGAAAACTAAATTGCACTTTGGGTTGGCAAATATTTATTATATCAATAATAATGTAGCCGAATTTCTCGTTTAAGTGTTTTTTAAAAACGTTAGTTAAATAAACGTCATTTAAAAGTAGTTTAAATTTTGTTCCAAAAAAAGGAAGCCAAATTTGTCCTTGTGTTTATCTACATTGAAAATATCCTGATTTTTCAAATCAGTGTTCGAATGGACTCTTCTTTTTTAGAAGGTCTTAAAGCAGTCATTCAGCGGCCAGAATTGGCAGTGAAGAAGAAACCTAAAAGAAAACAAAAAGTTAAATGTAGGAAGAAGCTAGCAAACGCTACTTTAAGCACTCTGAAGCATTCTAACAGGACTGAATACACCAGTGATACATTAGAATCTGAAATCCAAGCATCTATGTAATTTGTTTCAAGATCTGTATTAATTACATAGGTTCCGCATTTTGAATGAAAAGTTATACAACTGTTCTAGCACCGATGCTTCACAATACTTTTCAGAAGACCCGTTTGCTTTTGAGGTGTACCACAAGGGTTTTCAAAAACAGTTGAGTAAATGGCCATCCGATCCACTAGATTGGCCAGAAAAAATAATTAAGTCGGATTTTAAAAAATCTATTGTTGCGGATATGGGTTGTGGGGATGCTCGTCTTGCATTACACCTGAAGGGGGTAGCCACCGTTCATTCGTTTGATTTAGTCGCCGTTAACGAGCGGGTTACCGTTTGCGATATGGCACACGTAAGTATTTTCACTTAGATCTAAGTATATATGTGCTTATTCTTTGATACGTAATACAAGACGAAAGTTATAATTCCTAATTGGACACTTTATTTGGTGTCTATTCCCGCCGCATTTTCTCCTCAGACGCCCCTGAATAATTCGTCAGTTGATGTGGTTCTGTTTTGCCTCGCACTCATGGGAACTAATTGTCGTGATTTTATTTATGAAGCTAATCGAATACTAAAGATGAAGTAAGTCGATTTTTTCTAATCTTTATTCATGTAGTGGCACTCTCTTAATTGTGGAAGTGGCTAGTCGTTTCGATGCGTCATTTAAGAGATTCCTCAAGCTTCTTAAACCGTTTGGTTTTAAAGTAGAAAAGTGGGAGATCACAGAAGATTCCTATTTTGCCCATGGACGACTGTGCAAAGTGAAAGATCTTTCAAGTCAACCAGTGTCTACCATGCCAACTATCGCGATAAATCCGTGCTTGTACAAAAAACGATAACAGTTCAGCGATTTATTCAAAATAAATACCTTTAGTAGAACTAGTTTCCTTCTTGTTGTATGCATTTGCCCTGTTGGTTTTCGTATGGTTCAATTAATGTGTATCATGTTATTGCTTAACGACCGCGCCTGTTTTGATGTGAGCTCGAGTAAGTTGACACTTTAAAAATAGTGGGTTTTAAAGTTCGTATTTTGTCTCTAACTTTGTATTACTCATTAGGTCTAAATGTCGAAATGCTCTTTATCTTTCCCAAAAATGCACTTCTTTAGTCAAAAATAGATTTGAACATTTGCTGCTTTATTACTCCCAGCGTGTTCGGAGATGGAGGCGATTATAGGCCACGTTCGAGAGGGGAATTTGGCGGAAACACGCTTGTGGCTAGATATGAGTGAGAATGACGTTAATCAGGGCGACGAACACCGATTCAGTTTGCTTCACTGGGCAGCTCGTGAGGGCCGCCGTGCCATCGTTGAACTGCTCATTTCCCGAGGAGCCCGCGTGAATGCCACCAATCTGGGGGACGATACTGCTCTCCACCTTGCAGCTGCTCACGGTCACTATGATGTTGTGTACTTTCTACTGACCAACTTCAGGTTGGCAGTCGACGCCGCAAATGAGCATGGGAATACACCTTTGCATTACGCCTGCTTCTGGAATCACCATGAAATTGCTGAGGCAAGTTACCCGTTTTCTTATTTTTAACCCTAATGAGATAATTATGGTTTTCATTGTTTCTTGTTAATATATTTTCCAACGGTTTTGTTTATTTTATGATTTGCCAGATTTTATTGATTAACAAGTTTCTTCTTGTCTGTTGATTGGACAATCTACACATGAATACCCAGTTAGAGCCGGTGTTGCAGTTATCATAAGCTGTCTTTTCACTGTCTGTAATGTTGAAGACGACTTTCACGCCGATTTTTGACGCTCAGAACAAGGCTATTACGTGGGCATTTCTTAAATTGTTCATTTGTTATTCAAAATATTAATAATCAGCTGATCTATCGATTTCTAGATGCATCCCAAAGAGAAACTACAGAAACTATAATCTTATATACCTAATTTCCATGTTCATATTTAAAAAAATTGAGAATTTAAATTGAAACGTGATACCACACATAACTGACACAATTGTCTGGTAAATGTTTTTAATCCGGAATAAAGCATTTTCGTACGTATCTACATGCTTTTTATTATGAATAACTCCATGTAGTTGCTGATAAAATTCGGGGCGAGCTTGATGCAAGAAAATAAGTATGGTTCAACCCCACTGGAGATCGCACGTCCCCGGGCTGCGGCGATGTTGGCACCAATGGCGCAGAGCTATGGCGCTGATTTGGTTCGACGAAGGCCCTTCCGCGATCAGAGCTGGATTGGTACGAAGACTCGCGCAAGGGACGCAACCATTTACAAATTAGACGGAGACGCCTGGGACCCCCGAGACGTTGAACTTTCCGGTGCTCTTGCTGATGGACACGGAGCCGAAGTTCTACGAGGGTTTTTTCGAAACAAAGAAGTTGTCGTGAAGATGCTAAAGTTAAAACATTACACAGACAGGCAGGTGAGCTTAGTACGCGTCTGGCCTAGGGTTTCCTGTGTTACCTAATTTTTGCTTGTTATTGTTTTTGGGGATTTAGCATTCCACACAGCTAAGTATTTCTGTTGTGAATACCTCACGATGTAGTAGAATCCTGAAATCGATAGATTTTTACTAAAGGAAAGTGCACAGTAGGATCAAGCATCCATAAAGAATAACAGGTAATTTGCACGTGGGTGCCTCATCTTCCGCCGTAGGCCCGAGATTTCAAGGAGGAGTTCCCTCGCCTGCGCATTTTTAATCATCCCAATATCTTGCCTGTCTTGGCTATCTTCAATGCCACACCTCGACTGTGTGTAATTAGCGAGTTCATGCCATTCGGGACACTTTACAACCTACTTCACCCCCCTCCACCGGGACCTCAGCAGATTCTTGACGAGAATGCGCATCCACACGAGCCTCCGGTGGTTTCTCTACGACAGGCACTTCGGTTTGCGTTGGATATCGCCAAGGCCATGGAGTTTCTTCACACACCGGAACTGAAAGTGCCGAATTTCAGACTGAACTCGCGTCATGTTTTGGTAAGAGAAAGCACACGATAGTGTGACGTAACTGTTAGTGGAGGACAAAATATGCTTATGGGCATTTTCATAGGCCAAACGTTTCTTGTTTAACAAAACCTCTTTTCCTCGAGCAGACGGTTTAGGTCCGTAGATCCGAAGAATTGTTCCAGCCATTAGTGTTGGAAGCAAAATATTTCGGTTAGCATTGAGGTTGATATTGGGTAGCATGAATCTATATCGTGTTGACCGGTTGGTATAAATCAGTGGTTCTCATTACTGTAGTATGTAGTAAATTTCGCGCAATAATGAAAATGCCAAAAATGCACTTACTTCTTCCGCGTTAGAAAGCTTGCGAAAAGCGAATCACTGGTCAAAAATGGTTAGTTTTTTTAATACAATGGAAAGCAAATCAGTAAAATCAGTTTATTGGAATGTCGATGTTCGCAGATCCGCTGAATCAGAGTTTCTTCGGACGTGCGTATCCTATTAAGAAAATGCTTCAGTAATCACTAAATTGTCCAAGTCTTTTAACGACTTCCTTGATGAGGCCACGAAACCGCAGGCCTAATTAACTTAGCTTTCTAACCACAAGAATCAAACTCCACAATTATACAAAAATATCAATTATTAGAGGCGTTAATTTTAGTATTGTGTTGAAGGAACAAGAGGATTAAATATTGATTTCATTTGTCAGATTCCCGTAATTATGTTCCGTTTGGTTTTTCATCGTGTTTGATGGTATAGTTCCCATGAAAATTGACTTTAAGTAAGTTCAAAATTTTATCAATAAGACGTCATCATTTCTATCTGTTGTCACAGTCTGATGGAAATCAAGGAGATTAAATGCTAATGACCTGAGGAATTCATAAAGTTTGGAGAAGAAAATTCACCTATTATAAACGAAGTTGTAAAGAAACGTTTTACATTTGGCCTTCAAAGGATGGTATTTAATTTGACCTAAGGAGGTTGCTCTTTAGAATACCGAAAACGTTTTTCATTGCACTGAAACCTGAGCTGTTAAGTGGGAATGGCATAAATGAATGAATGTGACTGGCAGTTTCTCTTATGACCCGTTGTTAATCCAATTCACTCAATCGATTTTTGCCTTTTTAGTTTTCTGTGCGCTTTTAAACCATTAAATTTCGGTCCATGGTGTGTGTGTGTGTCCATAACTCGTATATTTGTAAAGGGAGCTTTTGGTCAGAGCCATAGTGTTTCACGAATCCACCGTCTCCTGTACGGTCTGGTTTTTTTCATAATCGGCGGAAATTTGTGTGAGTCTTTCTTCGGTAATGGATGTTTTATATTAAGCGATTTTATGAGGAATCCGTCTCTAAGGTAAATGAAAGGAAATCCTCGTCACACGTCGAATCTATTACAGGCCCATTGTCCCCAAAGGACAGGTCTTGTGCCTGCTGATCTCATGAAACCAATTCTAATCTCTAAGTGTACCTACTTGCACTTAAATGCTGATTTGTTGATATCTACTCGTGAAATTTTTTCTTGAGCCCCCGACCAACAGTTGGTTCTTCACTGGTTCGATCGCTAACACGTGGGGCCTTCGCCGGGCCAGGCCGGTGTGTGGTGCCTGCACCCACGAGCGCCGGTGTGTCCAACCCCGCCACGCCCACACGCCAGTGCGTGCGTGTGAATGCCATAGTTTGTGTGAATGACTGCACCTCGAGTCTCACAATTTAGCCAGGTTTTGTCGTTCCTATTTGGAGCGACGTTAGGTATTGTTAATTTAAATAATCGTTCCTTTACTATTCAATTGGAGAATTAGTTAACAGACCCCTCGTGCGGATCCAAATTAGTTATGGAATTTACTTTGGTAAAACGCGCTCATACGCGCTCTCCGTTTATTTGGGCTTTCGGAACTTCAATTTGAAAATCCGCCTCTGGAAAGGATAACCCAATTTACTTAGGATTTTTGATAGTTACCGTTGATGTCGTTGGGGAAAATTCAGGCGCCGTGGACTCAGTGACCTCGGTGGACGACATTACCCCTGGAGTTGAGGTGGTTCATTGGCACTCCGCCTGAAACCTGTGTCGCGTACTACTCCGATGAGGTGCAGCCCTCATTGCATGAATTTTTCACACCAATACGTGCTACCAAGGCACATGACTTGGATGCCCAGGCAACCAATCGGCCTACAATCGAGTCTGAGAAGTCTGTTTAATTCATTCTAGATTGATGAAGATATCGCTAAGATTGGAAACCCAGTGGACGAAGATATGCCTGATGACGAAATGCTGATTGCCCGTCTGGATATGGCGGATTACAAGTTTTCGTTTCATGAGAAAGCTAGGGAGTACAACCCTGCTTGGATGTCTCCTGAGGGTATGTTTTATGGGAATTGGTATGTTCTTAAAGGTAATGCATTAGGAACAAACATGAAGTTTTTCAACAAATTTGGTTTCGCGCCGCCGCCAAGGTCAGGCGAATTTTGAGTAGGGACATAAGAGGAGAGAAAGGTTTGATTGTATAAAAAAGTACCAAATAGTGTGTTGATATTTTGGACTGTGAACCAAGTTCCGTGAACAGGTCATGGAGAGGGTGTCCTTAATACGTCACTATCGTCTGCGGGTTATGCATATGAAAAGACTGCAACGAATTCAACAAGCACATGCAAGTTGATGTCGAGGCAGAATTATTGTGTGCTATAAAAAGAAGTGTGTTGCCATATTGTAGCCCTTCAGAAGAAACCACAGGATATTAACCTGCAGGCTTCGGACATGTGGAGCTTCGGCGTTATCTTATGGGAGCTAATCACCCGCATGGAGCCATTTGAGGGCCTCGACCCCATGGTAATTGGAATGCAGGTAGGCAAGCATCACACACTCCTTCTCTTTCTTCTCCTTTATATTTATTTGAAAAGAGTTGGTGACTGTGCGCACAACCGGAACACCGGGCTAACCTAAGCAACCCTCACCGAAATATTCCGTTAAAATGGTGTGCCATTTGTCATGTTATTTCCGTATACCTCATTGTTTTATTATACTGGTTTTGTAACACTATTCAAAGTCCCAATAGTGGATAACCGCTATTAAAATGTATCACAAAGGATTGTCTTTGCCGTTCCTCGATTCAAGCGCGTATATCCACTGTTACTTATGCAGGCGTTATTTAAAATAGGGCTGTTTTAGTTGTAGCGTTCCAATTGTAGCGGACGAACCTTTGTTACCCAAGGTCTCAGTTGGTAGGAGTACCTCGTAATTAAATGCCTAAAAGCAGCATCGGTTTGGCGGATACCAAATATTCTTATCGAGCCCTTTTCATTGTAAGTTGCATGACGGGCTGTACAAATTAGTGAACTTTACTGTATCACACAACAATCGGGTTTATTGTTTCGCATCCATTTTGACTTATGGATGTCTCAAATTTTGGTTAGGTGTTGCGCTTGCAAATACACTCACACACAGTTCTACATTGGTAATTAGTTATTGGAAGGACAGGCCTGCAGGTTGTTCTGGAATTATATTGGCAAGATCGCCTATGCAGGGAATCGTAGTTTCAGCAGTACACATGCCAGTCTAAAATGTGCACTTCCGTTCATAGGAATGCGTTTTGTAGAAGAAAGTTTTGTTTAACTATCGTTTACCGCAGCACCCAAATCTGTACGCCGTAAGGCTGCCGCTAGGTTCTCCAGACGCGTCTGCAACTTGCAAGTAAATTTAGTCAGTCCTATAGGTAGGGTGCCCAAGACAACATTTTTTCAAAAGGTTCGCGAAATTTTGAAGCGGAGATTTTTTCTCGTTTAGGTGGCCACAGAAGGTCTTCGATTACCTCGTCTTGCAAATATGGATTCGCGGATTGTGCGCTTGCTGGATCTCTGCATGAACGAGGATCCCGGGAAACGACCGCAGTTCGACATGCTCCTCCCGCTTCTCGATAAGATGCGCGAAAGAGCGGGCCAGCCAACGGCGGTGACCAGCTGAAATCGGCACTCACCATGTCCTGCCTTACTTACTCCAGTCTCTCTTCTGCTGTGTGTGTTCGGACTTTCAAGCAATCATGACTGCCACTTTTTCCTCGCTTAAATTACTAATTTTGAGTGAGCTTCGCCTCGTGTCCCTTGTTTATTTTGAATTTCGCGATAAGTCTAATAAACTACTCGATTCGCATGACTACTTCGATCAACAATCTCATGCACTCCCTAGCAGGTAAGGATCTATTCCCACGAACTGGTCTGTCGTTTCGAATGCAAATGGAAGATCTCGATAATCAGTAGCCGCTCCGGACTCATGCCTTGTGATCTACTTTTACTTGCAATTTTCCCTCTGTGAAGCCTTAGATAGAAGCGGGGATTCCGGCTACATTTGCCACCGATCCCCTCGCACATTAAAGCTTACCAGGAAGACAAAATCTCATACAAATATGATTTGTTGTAATGTAAGTTTGACTCCAAAACTATCAAGTTAATATGTAAAAAAAGTAAAACCTGGATCCGAGCTGGTACGTCGGTTTGGTATTCACATTCTGCTACTCTAAGTTGGTTCCACAGACATATTCGTCTTCAAATTAGCATGAAATACATGTGAGCAAATCGGTTTGTCGAATTACCATACCAAAAACACAAAGTACAATTATGTGTATTTATTCACGGTTGAAAAGTTACTCATGTTTTTTTTATTAAAACAGTAGCTGTTTTTCGACAAAATCATACGTCGTTGATTTGAAAGATTTTCAGTGCATTGGTTATCTTGAAAAGAGTAGCATACTAGGCTTGCATTAAAAAGTCCGTATTGAGGTTTTTGGGACATTTGGTTTCTTTCATTTACGGATAACCAACTTAGTACTGGAGTTAGGAATCCAAGTTTTCTGGAAGATGGGAACTGTGGGGCCAGTTTTTCAGTTTTTAAAGTGTTACTTTAGAAGAAAAGGTTTCAAAAACAAGTAAATCAAGTCTTTAAAACTAACTGATTACACCACAACAACGTAAAACAAAGTTTAAGTTGGAAAGATCTAATGGCAATAATGGAATAACAAAAATGAAATAGATGTTTGTAACCAATTCCACCTTGATGATTCATTCACTCCACAAATTGTTATTCTGAGACATGAAATCGCATTCCGAGTAAACCTTTTTTTACAAAAAAATGTTTAAGTGTTAAACATGACAAGATTTACACCAAACAATTTGGTTCAGGTGTATACAAGGCTATTCAGTTTGGCAAATCACTAAGCATTGACAGTGTTGCATATGCCATTAATTCATTTATTGAGAATAACCTAGCATGTCGCCTGAATGACTGAGTACATAAGGTCAAATAGAAGTTCAAAAATAACATATGTCATTCATTGAAAGAATAATAAAAGGCATCCTTTTTTCTTGTAGAAAAAAAGAAGTAGCTCTTCATCAGTTTCTTCGTTACCAAATACCTTAAAGAGTTTCTAATTTCATATAGGCCGTAAGGCCTTATCATTGTATGTTCATTTATTCCCAAAATTTTTCTACTTCCATAAAATCGAGGACACATTACGACTATTAAGAACACATATGAACAAATTACTCTAAACGTTCTCAAATCAATAGTTTACCTTCTGAAACTCATAGTTTACGTCAGAGCCTTTAAAAAATGCAAATACATCTTATACGGTAAAAGCTAAAATCGAACAGGGAGGAATTATTTAGAGAATTTTATAAATAATCGCTGCAAGTTTCATTAATTAGGATTATATGAAAAATTTCATGAAAAAAATTGATGATTTTGAATTTATTATCAGGGAACGATCGGAGTTACTTGGAAGAAGCCATGAATTCAATCGATTTTATTTTATAGAGAAAAATACGTCGAAATAATCCATTTTAGATATAATTAAAGGTTTTAAATGCCCAAGAATAAGAAAATATTTTGCTGCTATATTTTTAAGCTCTGATTTTTTACTTTTTTGATAACTCAGGCTGAAAGTAGAATTTGGTTGAAGTTTGCTTGACCTTGGGTAATGACCTCACAAACATCCTGCCAAAGGTGTGAATTATCTCGATTTGATTTTCCCTGTACAGCTGTTTTTGTTGAGAAATGGTAAGGTCAGAAATCAGGTTGAAATTAATGTACCATTCTCACGCCGATGCAAAAGGTCGTGTCTTGGGTAATATTCCGTTAAATTAATAATGGTAGTAGATGATGTTCTTTTGCATCCTCGCGATACCCATGGAATTCAGCCTGGTGACATCATCGAAGTGCACCATCCCGACCTTCAATACTCTACATTTTTTCATGTTAAATCTCTTCGAGAAGACTTTCAACACAAAGGTTTCCTGGAAATGGGGTTATTATATTTTCTAGACGCTATCAGCATTGAACAAACTCTGGCTTCATCATTAAAATTGCAGCCTTACAAACTAGTTTCTGTAAAAGTTATTAACAAAGAGGTTTGATTATTTTTTCCTTCATTTAGGTTTTAGGATATCTTATTAGATATTGTTGAGATTAGTTTTCGTGATCAGTACTATAGCCGGCGCGACTTAATTGAATTTACTAACCATTTGGTACAAGGATTGCGTAAAGTTATGCTTTTAGACTAACTCGGTCGTTTACTTAAACACGATACTTGAATTCGGTGTTATGCGGTTTGTGTCTATTTTAAAGTAGACATGTTTTAGGGGATATATCAACGAAATTTGGAGAAAAGGCGAGAATCCTTCTTGTGGCTATGTGTCTGATCACACAAAGGTTAACTTTTTGTATGTTATGACAACCCAGGTGTAGCTTGTTTATCGGTCCTCTTCTGCTGTGTTCAATATATTCATTCAAATGAGTGAAGAAATGTGGAACTTTGATGAATTCGGGGATCTTTATTTTGAAAAATGTGTCAAATTTCTTCGTGAACTCATTTTGAAAACTTGGGCCGTAAGTATTCCTGATCTTCATATATTTGAAATTTAGAACATGCTTTGCACCCATGATGTTACCTTGATTTTGTCAACTCGAGTATATGTCGATGTTCCATGTACGTTATTTTCTATTTAACGTTTTCAAGGTTTTGAGATTCCAAATACGTGTGTGTTTTCAAGGGACTACAGTGGCCAGCTATATGCGGATTTCTACAAGTAATGTCTCGTTTATTTTGAATCTTTTGTATGAATCCTAAATGACCCAGCACGAATTTTATTTTCCAAGAGTCATCGTCCAAAATGAGCGTTTCACAACTGACGAATGGAGGCGAACTCTCACCCAGCTCATGATGGAATTCAAGTATTACCAACATGAATTGAGAGACTACGTTCTCGGTAATATACCTTGTATCAAAAAACCAGAGCATGCGTGTGTTCGTCTTTCTCCTGCCAGGGAAGCTAACATTCTGGAGGCTCTCAATCTGGCAATTACAAGTAGGTTTCAAGTCTCCAGTTGTTTATCCGAGTATTAAACTAAATAATTTTTGGTGTATTTTAAAGGCTACGAGGGTTATAACCTCGACCGAACCTTCGATCGAACGGGCAAAGTTTGCTTAGTTATATCCCCAGGATGTGGAGTTTTCAACGCTGATCGTGACATGGTTTCATTCACCAAACAAAGGGTTCTTGATTTGGGTTAGTCTGCAGTCTTCGTCTTACGTAGACTTTATTTGATAAACAAAATGTCGGAATTTTCTACGGATATGTCTGGACAGTTGAGTCGAGCTCGATTATTTATTATTTCGAAACCTTTGTCTTTTATCCATCATCATGTAGTTTTCTCGACTTTCTCACTCAAAAGAGCATTTAATGAGTTTACCGAAAAGTGTGATTTTTATGCATCTTGTTATCTTTTCCGAATTGATTTTAAATTCAAATTACTCTGCCACTTCTCAAAGCTGATTCGAGCTTTTCCTCTTATTGAATAGGCTTAGACGTTGTTTTTTTGGTTAAGTCTTCTTCATATCTAATCATAGAACTGGTATCTATTTTAGCATGCCGCGGAAAAACAGTGCTTGTTTCTTACTTTATTTGGATTACTGCATTTCTTTTACCAAAATCATTATCGGATTTTGTTTTTTTTATAGGTGTGACGGTTGATTTGGTTTGCTTGGGTTCGCAACCCTTACATGCTGTTCCTTTATTCGTGGTAAGTAGTCTGTGCAGGTTGTAACAAAAGTTTCAGTTATCAAAGTTAATTTACGTCAACTGCGTTATATTTTCGCTATTGATTTTGCTCGTACTTTAATTCACCTGCCTATTTTGTTCACTTTTTAGTGCCGCGATCCGGCGAGCCTCGAAAACGCCGAGGTGTGTATTGTACCACTCTGGATGAACCACAGTTTTTTTCGCTCATCCCGTGAGGTCTGCGCCTTGAAAAATTCAGAACCAGTCACACGCATAAACGTAAGCCTTTGCTTGATGAAAAGTTTGTGTCATATCACTGCCACAGAAACCCGGAATTTAATTCCATACGCACGAATCAAGTGCATGCAGCTAGTTTAACCACTTAACGTTGCATGCTTTAGATTGTCTACGTTGGTGGCAACGTTACTGGCCCTGTGGTCAAGATCTGTCAGCATGCGTCAATTTTAATTATTGGATAATCAATGTCTCGTTGATAAACTGCGTTTCGTTTTAGTAATTAACATCATCTAGAGCTATTAGTTACATTTGTGACGAAGATTCATGGTGTTTAGCTTAGCCGATATATCTGATACGGTACTTCCCAATTTGCATCCCTTTTCCGAGTGGAAAACTTCTTAATTGAACCTACTTCTAATTAAAACATGTAACTGTAACGCTACATCAGAGTCTTCATACTTCTGCCGAAGATAAGCTAAGTTTTTATGGCCAAATATTTGTCAATCTTTGGCTGGCTTTGTAAGGAGAAAGCATGGAAAAATCTTCCCACACTTGAATGTCGTTTTAAGTGATAAAACTCATGATCTTGGTCGCAGGTAGTTTTACATGGACACCAGACGGCACAGGACATGTTTTAGGGTAACCCTAGCTTTCTTTTTTTAGGTGAAAGCACGAAAAACAGCAAGTTCATGGTTTGTTAATTTCTTATTTTTAGTGTCACTTATTGAAAGTAGTCACTAATAATTTACAATATTCAGTTTTTGTAATCATGTTTATGAATTTAGATTAACTTCTAATTTTTGAATTTGACTGGTTAATGCCTACGCTTTTTTGTTACACTAGTAAACCTCTCAATGGTAGTTTCTGTGATGGTCACCTAGTCAATTTCGTGTATTGTGTGTTGGTGGTTGCGAAGCGTGGCCTTTCACAATATATTTTCCATTCCTTATTTTGATTTGTCTGTAGGTAATTTAGAAAAATTTGCGAATTAGAGACAGTTTAAATTAGTGTATCTATCGTTAGAGTACGGCTAGAACCCTCACTGTTCGTTTAAAAACTCATTATCGTATCGTAGCGATTCAAAAAGCCAAAGAAGAGTTTTGAACCCAACTGACGGTGATGATGACGATGATGATGGTCAGAATTTACTGCTGAACAATTGTGCTCCTCCAAAACGCGATCTAGCGTGTTATCAAGTCAGACAGAAGATGCTCACTTCTCTAACCTCTTCGACCACTGGACAAATCACTCGTCAAGAACAACATGCGGCCTCCTTAAAAGAGGGTATTCTGTCATCCCGTACTCCAATTAACAGCACAGGGCGTTATCCGAAGTACAATGCCGTAAAAGTAGTCGGAGATTATGTAAGCGCGTCAGAAGTTGACATCTTCGGCAGCACTTCTTCAACACGAGGTGATTGTCCAGCAAATTCAAGATCGTTTAACTCTCTACATGTACTTAATTCTTTTAAGTAGTGAAGTTTATATGTATGTTTTAGGATGGAACATGCGTTTTCACCAGCTCTCGCGTACGCCAAGTGAAGTGTGTAGTGAAATCCAAAGTCCAGCCGCAGGAAAAACCGCATTGGCTGCAGAATTTCAACCATACTACCAGTTAGAACCCGCTTGGATTGCCCTTTATGGATATCCTAGCTCACTGATGGCAAATATGACAGGTGGAGCTTATGGAACATCATCAAACGCCACCCGAATAATTACTGGTATGTTTTGTTAGTCACAGAAATGAATGTTATTCATAACAGTCAGGTCGGTTAGAAAAAAATGCTTTGACAAGTTCTTGTGGTTTCATTTGGTTTCAACATTGTTTTGGTCTGCTTGGCTGTGTAATCCCGAAGAGGGGATGACATCTCGTGTACTAAGTCAAATAACTGATCTGCTCAAAGTGAAGGCGGGGTGAAGTGCTTACTGTTGATCACTCTACATATGAAATAGTGCGTAAAGGGTTTTTGGATTGTAAGTATGCTAGATTATTCAAGCTGAAGCAAAAATGGTCTTTAATGAGTCAGATATGTTGCATGCCACTGGCGAGCGCAAGTCGGCCTACCCAGATACCCACTTGTATTCCCACGCGCAAGGTGGCACCGCCAGTGTCAGGGGCTTCCCGACTCCTATTGAGACGCCCATGCGTCAAGGGCACCAGGACCAAGTCAAAGCGTCCGGCGTCGCACACTCCTATCAAAATGTCGCCAGTAGCCACCTCGTAGATCCTTGTCTTCAGCACCAAAGCACGCTCCCCTCTTCTGCTTCCCCTGCGGCACCCTCTGCGTGCTCTTGGCAGCCATCCGACGGCCTATGCAGCGGAGTTACGATCCTCCCGTGTGCGCCGCGAAGTAACGCCACAAAGAGTGCCAACGCAAAAGCTGCGGTCGCGTTGGCCTTCGGGACCTTCCCTTTCGGTGTGCATCCTCGACTGCCCGATCTTCGGCAGACTGCAGAACAGAGACGATGGTCTCATTTGCATGCTCTCGGTGAGTCATAGCTCTTGTAATTTATCAACTGCAGGAATTTAATTAAATCCAGTCGTTTTTGGGGTTCCATTTCTAGCCAGTTTTAGTCGTTGAACTTCTGGGCTCAAATGTCAGCGGCTTTTTGCACATTTCCGGCACGCCCTTTTAGGGTAGCTTTTCAGAGAATCTCTAAGTTTTATCGGGGACTCACAGGGTAAGTGCTTTTAAGTTTCCATCTTGGCTACAGAGCCGAGGCCACTGGTGTGTTTACATGCAGCTGAGTGCTTCCTAAGGGCTGAATAAGCGATGACTCCGAATTTCCAGCACAGTGGTACATAAATCTTCAAGCCTTAACTCCCAAAAACGTCGCTGGTGTCCGAGTGTAGCCCTTAACGCTCTCACAAGGTTTAAGGGTTATAGCTGATTTTTTGCTTGGGCGATGTGTAGACATTCGGCGCGCATATGGTGATGTAGACTTTTCAAGTCGAGTGGCACATTCGACCGTGGAATCGATGGGTCTTCAGTACATTTTGGTGTATTTTTGGGACCCCTACTCTGCTCGAAGATAAATCTAGGGTATATTTTGTGTCTTAAAATTTGCGAATAACTGCTCTCAGCACATGAGCTACAGTTTATTCAAATGAAGCTTGAGAAAATTGATCAGTGTTGGCATCGAATTTCCTAGCCAAAGTGGCCGTGGAAGGGGGTGTTGCCCTCCAGACGCAATTGAAATCGGAAATATGGAAAAACTCAGGCAGCATTAAATAGACTAAATTTCTATTCAATAGTCTCTTAATTGCAAACACATGCCACAAGGTTGCACACAATTGCGCCCTTTTCCCTCCAATGTCTCTACAACCGACAACTTGAAAGCCCAGTCAGCGGTCCCTCGTTTTGCCTTTCCAGCCTCTCGGCCGCATCTGAACGATTTCGCTCAAACCCAATGCATGGCTGTTTTGGAGGGCGCGCGACCTAAAATAAGTTTATCAAAGGTAAGAATCTGTCGGTTATTTGGTAGTATTGAGTGTACCTTGTTGGCTATTTGTTTGTTGACAAACAGTGCCTGGTAAACAATGCGAGACTCTTTGATCTGTTAACCAGGCCTCGGTGGGATTTTTGTCGGAAAAGACGCACTCTGTGAGTTACGGGTTTGGTGTAATGTGGCATTGGTGGAGACAGAACAAACACCTTCAAAATAATGAACATTAACCGCGGACAAATTAATGTCGTTTGTCTGTCATTGCCAATTATTTCTAAATATTTCGCTGCGACTAACCTCGATAATTGTAGGCAGTATTTCAACGTGAATGAATTCAGTTCCAATTTGTGGCCACTGCCAGAGCCAGGGATAATCGCATGTTTACGTGAATGGTAGTTAAAGGTTCTTCTTATTCATCCAGCCTATAATTTGATGGTTGATTTGTCTTAATGAAACACCTGGCTTAATCACGACCCCAAGCCTTCTCTGAAAACGAATTTGGTGGATAGGCAGGTAGAGATCAGTAGATAGTTTTATCCCAACAAAGTCCAGCATTCACATAGCTTCACTCCGGGATTTAACGTCGGCAACTTGTTTAGAAGCAACTTTTTGTTTGTTTAGTGCTAAACTAGCCCTTAAATGCCTTCTCTGATTCGAGAATAAGGCGTGTAATTAGTTTTCGAAGACTTATCTAACACTCGGATATTACTCCACACTCCAAAGAAACGCTAATGGAAGACTCGGTGTTAACACAAACGATAAGCTTTGGCCCCAGTTTATGGGATGCATCCACTAAATTTTACTCTGACACGATCACATCAGACTCGTTCTTATTTTTACCCATTGAGTTTAAAGTGCCCTTGATCGTATTTGCGAGCATCACTCTTTGAGATTTCGGAATTTCTCAACTTTTGTGCTTGCTATTTTTGCGATTCTAACTCCACAGAGGAAAATCCGGTGCGTTTAATCAAAATCAAGCTGGCAGAGTCTTTCAAGTTGAAGTCACTGTTAAGACCGCCATTTGTCTATTTTGGTTTTGCTTAAAACTGATCTTTACATTTTTGCGACACTTGGCCATTTCTACTGATCGCTAACCCAGTACATTTGACGGAACCTACGATTAGTTCCACTCGGGTCGTTTTTTGGACAAACCGATACTCTATCGACCTTAACCCTTTAATGCTAGGCGAATTGCTAGTTACTTAAACTAAGTAGGAATACTTTAGCCTTGGTCTTAGCTTAATCCAATGTAACTGATTTAAGGCCCTATGCTCACGTCCATATATAACCTCTAGCCAAAATGTCATAGCTATCTTGTTCTACGTCCATTTAGCAACTCATCATAATTTGATGGCTTGATGTGACTAAAATTATGTTTTTTTTGAAGAGACTCAGGTCTTTTTTCAGCTAGTTTGTTTTTTGCCTGTATATCAGATCTGGCACGCCTACTTCGCCTTTCATCGCCACGTTCTACTTACTCTTCTCAAAGACTCGGGCCCTAAGATACGTCACCAGCGACAGCGTGTGGAAACCCTTCGACATCCCTATTCATCGGCCTACTTACGCGGGCCTTGTGATCGTAACATGTACGTTTTGATGCTTTGTGCTTTATTTACCAAGGAAGCACGCTGCTGGTGCACTACTTTTCCATCTTACTGTCATTAAACCTTGCAAAACGCTCCATTTTACATAGATATGTGTTAATCCACTACCTCCAAAAGACGGTAACCATGCTCTCCAATCTGCCCATCACACGTTTTTTTCTGAAACCACCGGTTAACCAATTCCAATCTTGCCTGTTAAGTTAATATCTTTTTGACTACTCAGTTTCACATTAATTGTCGTTGGCCACGTTGCTCTTTGTGAACTCGGCCTCGCCTAAGCGTTTGCAGTTATAATGAAAGGTTAACCATACGCTCTTTAAAAATGATACGTAATTATTGGTACTTGATTTAAAGTCAGCGACTTTGCAGAAACGTGTGCACTTCTGAAGAAGTTGCATTTTTAAGTGTATCATAAACATCCCTAGCCATATTTTATTAAAAGATATTTTTGCTTCCACGGACAACGTTATTTGCTTCCACGGAGGCCACCGGCTACTCTGTGGCACTTTCACGCAGCGGCCAGTCTCATCAGAATTTCTTGTGTCGTTTCCAGAATGATGGCTTGGTTGTGTGCACGCACGTGTGTTTTGCATTAACGCTTTCCTTCGGATAGCATCTTATGCTAATGCGCGTTGCAGCGTCAACTTCAAACCCTGACAATGAACTACTGGCATGAAAAACGTCTGTAGGCTTTATTGCGGTAAATACGAAAATGGCATTTCTTGAAGTTCTGACGTAAGGTAGTTTTAGTACATGTTAGATTCATCAAAGGGCATTAATTGTGCTGATCCTGTACTACATGTTAAATAGCATAATGCCACGTGTTGGGTTGGTTCTTCAGTCTGACATGTATTTTCTACTGATACTAGGCGATATTGCCTTTCTCCTTGCCTCCTCTATTTAGGGACACTAGTTCGTCAAGTGGACGCAAAGTTTCGAGCCAATGTCTCTCGGTCACTAGTGTTGTTGTTGTGAACGAAGAATCGTGTGCTTGTAAGTTTATCAGTTTTTTGCTGCTTTTTCAACGGAGTGGTTGGTATGCAAAGTCGAAAAAAAATGTATTGAACTTGATTTTCTCCTGTTAACTTCCTCCCCATGACATCGATGGACTTCTTGTTGAGTTCCTGCGATTTCCTATCTACTGACCATTCACCACATTATCAAGTACTGCAGATTGATATAAAGAGTACTATATGCGAAATATAGCTCCATTTAGAAAAGGAGTTTATAAGCGTTGTAACCTACGTAACTAATCTAAAAGCAGTCAGAAGTGCTTCCATTGACATTTCTGTGTTTTTATTTGAACTGGCGGCACCGTTTAATGTATCTGCTCCAATATAATGCTTTTTTTTAAGAAACCAATTGTACTTCCAAACCTGTATGAAGAAATTAATCCTGGTTTGTAGTTCCTAGTTGCGTCAAAAATCCCTCCCAACTAGTTTTCTTACAGGAAACTTTTTTGATGAAATTGGGGAAACGGACGGGTAGTTGCAAAGGTCAGCGATCCACTTTGACCCTAGCATTCGATAATGACGTAAAGGAGTACCGGATGCTCTGGGGGTAAAACTGAAAGGCTTATTCAAATTAACTACTCTACCCCACTTCCCAGCGCGCGTCAAGCGAGAAAATGATTATTGGGCACCTGTTAAATAGTTTACTAAAGGGGATCATTTTTGACCACCAGTTCTCGATTCAGGCCCTCCCACTACGTGCCGTTCTGTCCCTACCGCCCTCCGTATTCCTAGGTCGGTCACGCCTCTTCAGCCCACGTGCACATTACGCTTAAAGGTCATCAGAACCTAGGTAATGCCTCACCGGAGTAGATTTACTTTTCGCAATTTTTTAAAAATCTCTGTGTACCTAAAACGCTGCCACCACAAGGCTGGAAAGCGTTCTCGCGTCTACAAGTTGTCCCTTATTTACCTAAACGGGTTGAGCATGGCGCCTTAGTTTGAAAGGCAATTTCATTAATTTGGGGTGCAAAGAGACGGCTTTAGCATAAAGTCTTCTTTACTCGGTTACTAATTTTTATTATTGTTGTTGATCCAGATCCCGACTAAATCTATCTTCTCTAACGACTTACGTGTCGTGAAATCGTTAACTCGTTTTCTAGCACAATTTGATGAAGTGGTGTATTTCTTTCGGAATCGATCAACTGTTAGCCGACAACCGTCATGACACAATGCTGCTGTTACCTTTGTATTTTACATTCGTATTCCTCTTTTGCGGCCCCAGCTATTTCCCTTGTGCCGTCGACAGCCCTGATTCAACGCATTAGTGTCGTTTTCAGCGGGGAACTATTTTATGCATTGTTAACAGAATGTCATTGTGTGTTGTATTTTTGCAGCCGGCAACCAGCCCCCGCTGCCATTTACCGAGCCGCCGGAGAAGTTTACTAGTAGCGAGTCGTGGCAATCGTTGAGGGAGGTCGCCGAGTCCCCGAGCGCTGTGTTTGTGGACAGCGCACGCGACTCGAGCCCCTCCCTGTCTGCGCCCGCGAACCCGGAGATGGCCTTCCCCTCCAGCTACCAAATTGACTGCTATGTAACCAGCACAACACCGTCGCGTCACCAGAGTGCGTAATTCAATTGGAGTTAAATGCTACGTCATTTGTGGCAAAACAGAAGGTCACTTATTACTATTGATCGTGTGATGCGGTCAAAGTCTAATCAAATGGAGCTCCTTTAAAATGACCACGCTGTTGGTTATTGAAGGAGAATAAATAATGTGAAATCGAGTCTTGTAATGCGATTTGTCTGGCTTACCCAAGGAGCCCCCTTCACTTTTGTGCGACAAACGCCACGTGCTGTAAGTATCTCAGGTCATGGTCCGTCTTTGTCTCCGCAACTCGTTAGTTTCTTCTCCATTTGAAGTTACTGAAGTAGCTGGGTGTGTAGCTGTGCTAAATAATCCCAGCCCACATCATTGTTCGCTGGCTCACAGAGACGAACAGGGGGAATGGGCGTGTGTTGTTTATCCCTGTCAGTATTCACTGGAGGCTCTTTTACGTGAGACTTTGTTTTGATAATTTCCTGATGAATTTCGTCTTTTTTATTTCAGTTCTTTTGAGGGACATGTTAAAACCAGTTGGTGAGTTTGCATCTTCTTTACTCTTCAGTAGTCAAGTTTTTGTGTGAAAAGAACTGCAATAGTGAGAACGTTTTGATTTAAGTCACCTATGTTGAGGCTCACTTTGCATGTTTCAACCTCCGAGTTAATTTTAGGGTAAAATTCAAATGCACGGGTCTGTTAACGCGTTGGGAGCTCAACATCTGCCCCAGATGCGACCTGAAAAAACAATACAAATGACTGAATTCGAATTTTACAATTTATTCTGACTCGGTTTACTTCAGACGCTTTCTACGTAAATAGCTGCAGCAGCCACTAATTGTAAACTTAGCGATAGTTCATGAGAACTTGGAACGCGAACTGAACTTGCTGCGTACTGCATTGGCATTCGTTTGGAATACCATTTTACTTTATCATGTGGTTTTTTCGTATTCATCTCTGGTTTCGGGGCACGTAGGCGTAAATTAGATGTCAACCTTACCACACAACTGTTCACGGCCTGCATCCCTAGGTGTTGACTGGAAGTCGCTGACTATGCCCGCATTACTACCTCTTACAACTGACTTCTTTCCGGCGCCCACAAGCCTCCTAGGCGAGGACTACATGGTTCATGAGTACCGCGTTGTTCTAATTACAATGTCAGAAGATGAGTGGAAGAAACACTTCAAGTAAGTATCAAGTCTCGAAGTGCACTTTGTAGGTATCATCAAAAGTCTAATAGCTGATGTTTTATTTGATCTTCAGTAATGGCTATCGAACCACAATGTAATCAGTGTTAGGCTTTTGTGTGTTTGACGCTTTCGAGTGATATTCAGCTTGTAATTTTCGATTAAAATGATCCATAAACTTGCTCAAAAAATGCACAATTTGTATTTCCAACAATTTTTCATTCGAAATGATGCTTTCAAAGGTAATTCTAACCCCATACACATTACGGCAGGTACCATTTCGTGTGGTTATCTAAATTTTCGAATGCTTGTTCTTTTGGCCATGGGGTGTGCAGATACGTAGAGTACGACAGGGTCTCTTCGCCTAACTTGTTCTGATTGCGTAATTCGGTTGCTCCAGGGATAGGATAAGGAATCAGGTTTATTGTTTATCACTCTCCGCTCTCCCCCTTTTATGTACACTTAACTTTTGTGTGGTTAGAGGATTAAAATTTGACCTTCTTCTGGGTTGCCAATAAATCGTTGATAACAGTGTTCTCGTTGTTAATCCCCTTGGCATTGAATGATCATGAATTACTAATAATACGCTTTTTGTACAACCTTTTTGTTGTCACATGCACTTTACACATGTTGATGTCTATTTGTAGAATTAATATTGATTGATAAATTTTGCTTGACTTTTGAAGATAATGTAGAGTGAATGAGTACACCTTTACCAAGACGTTTATTTTGCGATTAAGCGTAAATATGAATTTCATTTAGCAAGGAATTGTAAATTTTAATTATTTTTCTTCTCTATTAAATGTTACACAGCCGACAGCTTTTGCTTAGCAGTGTAACAAATTGTACTCGGCTTTAATTGCCTGTTTAAGTTATTTTCTTGCAAGTTCCCTTCTCTTATTTAGTTCACATTACCTTATCTATTTAATTCACACCCACACGATTTCGGCTGCTTACTCTACGCGCATGCAGATAAGCATACTCTTGTCACTGGACTGTAATGTCACTCCACTCAAAATTACCCCCGAGAAGTAGTTGGTATACCACCGCGTTTGTCTGGTGACTAATGCAGAAACAAATAAATCGTGTTTTCTCATGCTCCTTCTGGCTGCTGCCGTTATGTGTAAGGGTTGCAATGGCTTCTTCGATGCGTAGTCGTCGCAGGCACCCAGATTAAGCGTGGCTCAATGAGAGCATGGAGGGCATAACCCGGACTGGTCATTAGTTTGTGGTGGTGTGTGCTTTGAAGATGCTGTTGGTGATTCTACAACTGCATTTTGGCGCTAATGTGCAGATTAGTGACTGCGACCTGACACAGGGACTAAGTGAGAGGCTTTTGTAAATTTGTATTCACACCTCCCTGAAGCAAGCAGGTAACATTCTTCTTCGATTAATTTGTTGCTCTGCTTCCTTCCTTCCTTTCTAGTGTTCAGACTTTTCCAGGCCTTGCTTATTCCCGTCACCCTCTGTCTGCGCAGCAGGTTCTGGAGGAAATTGTTAGTCAACGTGTGGCTCAAGTATGCTTCTAAATTAAACATTTCGCCCTTCTTTTATCCAACACCTGTGTCTATGCTGTGTAAGTATTTGGTTAATTTGTAAATTAAAAACGCCAAGCTTCTTTTTGGTCCCATTCAAAACACATCATTTTTATGGTTCCTTGACCCTTAGTGTAACCACTTTTTAATTTGTGATCTCTTCGTTTCTACGATGTGTTGATTTTAATGAAGATAGTTGTTGTCGCTGAAAAATGACCCTCCCCTACAACCACACCCTGCTAAACCTATATTTTCGTATATTTTGCTCATACTGAACGAAGAAATTCCCTAACAGTAATCCACGGAAATCGCCCTTTCACTGCATGCCAAATTCGTCAGCATCTCTTCGGGCGCTTTGTCTGAAATGATTCGCAATAGGCCCTTCGATTTTCCACGAAACCGTCGAATTCGTGTTCCATTAGTCTACTGGTTGCCACTTAAGATACGCAATTTAATTTGCAATTGAAAGGTGCTTTGTGAACGTTGGTCTTGTGGACCGGTAGTTACTTTACTTACGGCCTTTGTGATTAATGTTCTTAGGCATAGGTGTAACTTCAGTGCCCACCCATCCAATGCTAAGGCTTATGTTTTTCATCTTTGAGAACACGCAAAAATTAAATCGGATTTATCTGTGCGTTGCACACAACAAAACTTTACTCAGGTTTTTGCTGCCCTTATTGCTGTTGCAAAAGTACGTGGGAATCGCATCTCTGACCTCTCTGCATCCAAAGTCACGGTAACTAAAAGTAAATGTCATGCGCTTTACACTACGCCGCGGTTTCGAACTCTTCGTTTTAGCCACCTGGCTATTGATTTGGGAATTGTTAGCGCTTTTTTAAAATTTGACATAACTACTTAAGTTATTTATCCTCTCGGGAAAATGTTCTGTTCAGACGTAGCTGACATTCCCTTAAAATTCCAGCAGTTCATCATAAAGGTATAACTAGTTTGAGCGTCTTTTGTGTGCTGGAATCGGGCTAGCTTTTATTTCGACCAATCATCTATATTGGTTTGCTCATATCACCATAGACTATGATGCTGGCCTGAATGCTATAGAAGTTTTTTTTATAACGGAATGTTACTTACTTTGTTAACTTGGAAAGTCTCTGTCATTCGTCCTATTGATTTCCCTCATCGCCTCGAACGTCCCTCTTCCTTTCAAATGTCATGACTCCCAAATCCTTCCCCCGCGCTCTCCCAATTTAGGCTTGTTGTGTGTGACTTTTTCTAGATACGTTCACATGGTTGACAGTCAACTTCACGGATATTTTTGTCCTACGGTCAACAAATTTACACTGGCGCGTGTACTGGTAAACGCCTAAAACACGCTGTAGTTGTCGTCCCCTTGACCACGATCACACTTATGGGCTCAAAAATGTGTTGAAACCTTAAGGGATGTAATAATATGTGTATTCATCCACTGTGACGATGTCTTTGGATTAACTTCCTCGAAAGTGCAGGTGCGGCTGGATTCAATAAACAATTCCAAAATGTCGATTGTAGCGTTCAAATTTTTAATGGTGTCGATATAGAATTCAATCTTACCATTTCGCTTTCTAGTGGCGTAAATTAGGCATTCTTATCGGTGTCACTAATGATATTTTTTTTTAAATCGGCAATTTTGGGTCATATAAGTGGAAATATCATTTCGTCAGGTTCTGTTGCCCTTAAGTACTTAAGTTCTTTACAGAAGAACACGGTTGAATTGAATTAGAGCCAATAGACACATAAAACGCTTTAATAAATCACTCTTTGAGAACGTTGAGAGCGTTCGCTTGCACGCACCACAGTACGCCGACCAAATCTAAAAAAATAATTATACTTTTGTGGCTTTCCTCTACATATAGCACCAACCATGCTCAAGTGCATGTGGTTTTGAAATTTGAACTCGCACATGCTATTGTTACCTGACTGTGCTGTCACAATCTGTATAGGAACGTATTATGATTCACCCTGCAATGGATCATAGGTGGTAACCAAGACAACACTCCATGGCTATACCATAGTGGTTAGTGTTTGAGAATCTGTGTAGCAGAGATAGGATGTCGTGATTGAGAGTTTGATTTCAGCGTTTCGGGGTAGTTGCAGTGAGCAAATGGTTTCTCCTTTCCTGACCTATTGTGGTATAAGTGTTCTTGTTTTTTCGGTCGCAAAATGCGATCTGATCGGCACTCAGCTGTTTCCCGTTCTTTATTTTACTTGCTGCTTCTCACATCAATACGAGGATCATATGCACTTTCTCATACTTCGCTCTGAGCTAATCTTTTTCTTCTCTAAAAGACTGGTGTGGAATAATCTTGATTTGTCGTGTTGCCGAGTCCCCGAATCTTAAGGACCCGTGTTTGCACCTACCCGATCTTGTTTTTTGGGAGAACCCATCACAGTCTTCTGGTCTGTACAGGTTTGCCTATCACATAGAAACTGGGACGATTTAAATATTGTTCTATAGGATTGTCGAATCAATGTTTTCTGAACTCTTAATTTATTACTCGACGAGCTTTGTTAATGCACCTTAATGTTTTTTGTTTCTGACGTATTCTAATAACCCATGCCGTTTTGAACGCGGACTTTTCTATTCCCTTTTATAGCATTTAACGCCTATTCTCAACTGCGGAGCTAATGTCAATAAAGACACTGGCCGCAGTTCTTAAGCAGCGTTACTCCGGCAAATCAAACAACTCAAAAAAACGCATGCGTGCCATGACCATCGCTGTTGAGATCTTAAATTAACCTATGCTGGTACAATCCGTTGATCTCCCATGTTTCGCATTTGCTCAAGATGTAATTTTTATTTGGATGTGTGGCATTTTGGCCTACGTTTGCTTTTCGTGTGTAGGGTTTTCAGATTTGTGTGGACGGCGACGACGTCTCAGCGCCATTAAACACCGGGGCACCACTCAGGACTCCGGATCCCCACCAGGCCCGCGGTCTGTCCGAGGCGAAGGCGCCAGTCGCGCAGCACGTGACGTCTCCTCTTCCGAAGCAGCCCACCCCCTCCCGCAGTCTGGCCTTTCGCATGCGGCACCAGGCAGCAGGAGGCTCGGCGGCAGGCTGCGCGGGCGCCGGTGGGCTGTTCGCTCGGACCAAGGCTGTTCCCCATGCCCCTACTGGGCCTCGCGATCATCCGATTTCTGGGCCCGCGCGGTTGAACTTCCAGACTGGGTCTGTCGCGCCCTCGGCAAACCCAACCGCAAGCTCTCTTTCAAAAACTGCGGCCTTTGTAAGTTAGTTGGTTTTGTGGGTGCACTCTACGAACCTGAGTGTCACTACTTGGTGCATCAATTCCACCTGTAAAGGCGCTTACCTGAAGCTGTTACGTGTCGTGAAATATCTTCTTTATCTGTGGTTTTTTTCTCTAGAACTTCTTATTTAATGCAAATCACTCATAAACCATGTCAAAAATCGAAAATCTGTTCACTGCGTCATCGTGATATGTTGTCAACTGTGACGGTAGTTGGACATCACGGGCTATGCAATAAACTCACCCATGTAAACAAAGCAGTCTGTGACAAGGCGGAGGATTTTTGCTTCATAAGCGCATTTTCGTTTTCCTCCTAGTTTTCCGTTTGTTGATCATGTCAGCAATTTCTGAGCTTGTCATCCCATGGCCAGTATTCTGGGGCCAGAGTCGTGGTCGTTTATCGAAAATGCTCTGAGCGCCCTGTATCTGGTTCGTTGTTTGTCCCGTGTGAATAACCAATCGACGGGCTTTCCGGTTCAATACAAATTTCAGTTCTGTATGGGGTTCACTGAACCGGGCTTCAGAGGAAATAATGAATTCAAAATTTTTAGTCGTCAATCGTAATTATTCCGTTTACTGCGATTAATTGGCTCTGGGTAGTGTAGCGGTTTGAAATTACCAGTCATTGAAGCTGTTATGGAGTATGAGTTAAGCTTACTTCCTTTCTCTCCCTCTGTGAGCTTTTTTTGCATTATTTCGGCCTAAATATTCTTATAAAAGTGCATTATTTGTCGACGAAAACCCATTGTTGAAGGCTCTTATTTAAATTCTAGATTTAGATGATTCGGGCGAATTCGGGAGGTGCTTGCCCACTACGTGCGTATAAATCTAAGTCAATTAAATGTTTGATTTTTTTCAATAGAAACACCTCACAGATTTTGAATAAGAGATATTACACGGCATTTGACTACCTGCCCCTCGTAAAGAATGAAATAAGATCTGGTCTGTCGGCCTGAGGAAAGCCATTTGCTGCCATTTGAATATAATCACCTGAGATGACCTGCCACCAATCAACACATTTCCTGAGGTCGGAGAAAGTGATAAATTCTGTATGGATTTCGAAGTGGAGGGAACTTCACCAATATGTCACGGTCAATGAAATTCGGTACTTAGGATATTTTCATGCAACCGGCTGCCGGCCGTTGTCTCGACGGAAAGCTAAATCCTTCCTGTTGGCCTACCGTTGACTTTTTTCTGTATTTCCACGTGAAATCTTTGAAGTTCGTTGAAGTATTTGTCGTAGACTATAATTTTATTGAGTTCGGGATTATGAAAAATTGAAAATTGGCTAGTTATAATGGAGGGAACTTGTGTTTACATCTACAATTGGTTTTTGTATAGCAATGTCGCTAAGTATTGACTTTGTCTTCGATTTACGCTGCCTTAATGGATCTGCAAACTGGCTTTTCTACCCAATTTTAACTTAGGTTATGCAGATGTTCGTTTCAGTCGTGTGAGCGTACTCCTAAATGGTCGTAGTGACGTTTGTTGATGGATTCCTGGTGTTTGTGTCATTTCTTCTGTATGCACTGATATCTAGAAGTCCCTTTTTAATGGTTATCGTTTGTCTACCTTGAAGTGCTCCGCGACGGTGATCTTTGTCCGTCAATTAGTCCCGACCTCGTCAAAAGTGTGCACGAATCCAGAATTTTGAGGCCTTAGTTTATGAAAGCAAACCACTTGTCATCGGTTTGGGTCTTATTCAGATTTACCTAAATGTTCAACCTTTTAACTCCGCCATTTTGGCGATTTCTGGATTTTTTTTTGAAGTTAAATTGCATTACCTAGGGCTCATCAGATTCTCATTGCTGGAACATTTTTTTACTTTTCTAATTAAAAATAGTTCTTTTTAATTCTCTAGACTGATCCATTTTTTAACCGTGTAACGCATTCATTCAAGCGACATTCTGCTCTTATTGCCTGACATCCATTTTGTTCTTAGTGATTATAAGCAGTTTATGGAGTCATACATTGGTTCGGTAAAAATAACCCAGACTAGTGACTTGCGTTGTGCTGATTTTTTTTATTTCTCACAACTAGGTTTAAATGAAGTCGACAGGTCACTTTGTATGTAGTCATCTCACTTTTATTTCACATGCTATTACGTGGTATAGTGTACAAACCCTGTTCAAGTATCTCTTCTTTTGGCCTCCGAGATGTGTTAAATTTATTTCAAAGCGTCACCTGGTCGAGTTCCGGGTAGTAGCTTTTCTACACAGTGTTAACGTTCATATTTTAACTCATAGTCAACACAACCCCATTGCTTCCTCAAAAGCCGTATATATCGAACTGACGTAATTATCACAGACTTCCTTGGGTTCATCATTGACAATGTCATCGGTTTTATTGGCTTTTCTATTAACCAATGACAACGTGCCTCTTTATTATTGGTTGGTTATTTACTTGGCGGGTACATGTGTGCACCCATGCGTGACGCGTATACCGAGTTTCGCATTTGTTCACTCGTTTGGGTGCGCGCCAGTTTTGTGCGCTGTGGCGCCTCGTGGCCCGTCTAAGTGAAACAAAATGAGAAGATGTCGAATTTCTTGTTCGCACTAAGTTCGCTGCTATCTAGTCTCGCATTTTCCAGTGCATCTGTACTTTGCCCATCCGGATGTCACTGTCCCACGGAGGAGGTTGCCCAGTGTTGTCTATTTCCCCCGGATTTTCCCTCTCCCGTCCATTGCCACTTCCCCGGAAAGGTACAGATTTCTTCCAATTCCAATTCAAGTCATCGATGGCCCGTAGCGGACACGTGTTTATCCAAATGGGCAGATTTATCTGTCAAGCTGTTTCCGAAAAGTTGGCCCCCTCCATCACCAAAACGACCATGCACGGCCCAGCTGCACCGTCTGTCCATATCCGGCGGCAGCCTGACTTCTCTAAAATCAGAGGATTTTAAGTCTCTCTTTGCTTCCCAAAGTGCAACACTGGAGATTCTTATTATTGAAAACACGATGCTTGAGAGACTGGAATCTGGTCTTTTTGACAGATTGGCCTTAAAAGCCCTCACTGAAATTCACCTGCGACATAATTATCATCTGAGTAACCTCGGATTCGGAGTATCAGTATTTTTAAACCTACCTCAACTGGTGACGCTAAATCTCGAGAGTAACCGGATCGAGCGCCTGGAATTCGTACGTTGGGGGTTTCCAAAGCTAAAAAAGAACTCGTCCCCCAGCCGTCTTACTTCCCTCAGTTTGGCCAACAACACTCTGACTTACCTAGGCCCAGGTACCTTTGATTTGTTCCCCTTTCTGGAAAACCTGTCTCTGGCAAATAACAGACTTTCTAGCCTTTCATCGGATGTGTTCGAGGGACTCACTAGCTTGAAACGACTAGATTTGTCCGGGAATCTGCTAAATCTTCTCGGCTTACAAAATGCATATTTCAGCTTCAGCATTTCTTTGGCCAATCTGAATCACCTTGATCTCTCGATGAACCCCCTAATGCGAAATGTTCGTGGCGAATCTACTGAATGGTGGCTCTCTTCCGGCTGCCCTCCCTCTCTGAGTCATCTTTATTTAAATCATATTGATGTTGATCTGGGTCAGTGGGTTCCTCTTCTCCCGCCAATTGATTGGGCTCGGTGTCAAAGATTGGTAAAAGTTGAAATTCAGCAGGTACCGCGACTTCCATGTCTCCCTGCCGGTTGGCTTCGTTCTGATGTTCTGCCTACCCAGCCTGAATTAATAACCTCGGCATCTCGAGTCTGTACTCCACCTGGCACCAAACCTACCGCGTCCACCGTCACCACACCCGCAAGCCTCACTAATGCCAAACATAACATCTCGCACACCGCCCCAGTGGCACCTGAACAGCTTGGTTTGCGGGAGCTTATCATCAGTTCGATTGTTGGTGCCGTTTTATTCATTCTACTTGTTTTTCTCGTGGTGATTATTTTTACTTGCCGCCGAAGACATTGGCTGTATGGAGCTCTCAACAAGAAGACCGGAAAGCCAGACACTGTCTTGAGGAGCAGTAGGAATGAAAGAGCTGTGATGTCTACTTACATACCCGCTGTTGATTGTCAGTTGCCCCTTGTCGATGACGAAATTTCTACGGCCACAATGCGTCAGTCGGAGTCTCGTATCCTCTACGACGAGAACGGTGTGCCCGTGTGCAGCATGGTGGTTCCTGAAGTCGGCCACACAACTGCTGTAATGCTGCCAGATGGGACACTCGCCTATGTGCCTCAGTTTACCCCGCTTTCCGGACGAGTCACTCCATCTAGCCACACCGGTCTTCTCGAAAACAGTCTTCAAGGTTCACGTTTATTGCTTAAGCACCCAGTCATGGTGCCCTTCATGACTAGCCACGCATCCCTGGCTACCTCACAGATCGACTTCCCCCATCATCAGCAACGCCCACCCTCCTACCAACATAACGTGGGGAAACGGAGTCGTCGTCACAACACTCATGCACCCACGTCGACGCTGTCATGCAAGTCAACTTCTTTCTCTTCTCTTGGTGGATCGATACACTCGGAAATGCCACCGCCCACAAACGCGTTCAGCGCAAGCCCACCACCTATTGCAACCGTTGCTCAGCTGGGGAATTCCGTACCCCAGGTTCTTTCTTCATCGTCGGCAGGGTCATCTACTGAGGAGCCTTCTTTGATTGTTGGCACAGGCGGTATCGCGACTGCCTCGACGACCACTTCCACCGCCAACGCCTCTCCAACCAGCCAATCAGACAATGCGGTCGTTTAAGTATTCTTTGACTCTTTTTCAACGGGACGGCTTCTCTGTAATGCGTTCTTGTCTCGTTCGATGTTTTCTATATTACATGAGTAAATATACTTATTATCTCTTCTAAGACTAATCATGTTTCCTCCAAACCTTGGCAATGTATAAATTTCCCGGTGGCTGTAGTGGTCGCTGTCACCTCGTATCGGCTGGCTTAGGTTTCTGAACTTCTTTTCACTTTGCCAAATAACCTTGCACTAGTTTGATATCATGTGTGTAATGTGCACAGTCCCATTGACACTACCAAGCGGTAGGTCGTCTTCCACTCAATTGCAAAGTGCTTTATTATTTGTGATGGTAGCAGCTAAGAAGTTCAGAGAAAGTGAATACAGCTCTTTATATTGGATCTTTAGATGTCTTCAGGTTTTGCACGGTACGATAATTGGAACTTCTATCCTCAATCAGTGTCACATTTTACGGGTGTTCCTTACATGCTATGGGTCGCCACCTGCTTTAATAAATTGAATTTAAAACGCTAAGCCAAAAGGTCGTGTAGGTGCGCGTGCGTACTTCTTACGCTTCCAATCAGTTTTTACGGCCACATCTGGCGGACCACTCGAGGGGAAGCGAACACACGACCGGCACGCCATCATCTCCCCACGGACGGGGAGGACGCACGGGCCCTCGAGTCAGAGGTGAGTCATCACCAAATTGACCGTTGTGGATTTCCCACGTGGGAATTGCGACGCCTACTGGGCCAGGCGCTTGAGTTTCTCGATTAGCAAAACCTTCGAATCAAATTACTTGCCAGCGTTGTCATCCGCCAGATCTTGTCCGTTTTTCCCCATCAATTCAAAGTCCAACGCTAGAATCCAATTGAGCTGGTCCAAGTTGCCGTTTCGGTATACCCTGATTAGAATTAATTAATTACTTTGTCGCAACTACACTACTAATCAACTAATTAATTACGATAGTACCTAATGTTTCTGAATGGATAAAAACAGGTCATATCGTTTAGTCTTTTTCAGAGCTTCTCCATATTCCTACTCTGGTGTGTGATGTAAGACGGTTTTTGATCGAGGATTATAACAATTATCTGTCAAAAACTGATGCTAACTTAGGGACGAGGTAACATTGGTGCTTCAAGTAAAGTAAACTGAGTAGGAACCGGTGTTCAGTGAGTAGTTCTGTGTTAGCATTTAGTGTTTGGCATTTATTCGAATTACGGATGGTGAGGACCACTTTTCGTGAAATCAGCAGTGGATGTAAATGCTTTCATGGACCACGATGCTAATGTCCTAATCTTGATATTGTAGCTTTGCCCCACTTTCCTTCACGACGTTTTCGAGACTTCATACTTGTTTAAACATTCATTACCTCATTAATATATTTAAGGTAAATCATCTTAGGTGCTTTTTTGTTGAATGCAGCCAATCATTCCTTAGATATATTGTGCGCTATTTCTTTGGATGTATGGAAAAGACTCAAACAACGCCAGATCGACTATCTAGTTTCTCTCTTAAATGAGACAAAACGCTCACATGAATAAACTGGAAGTGCAGTGTTGCTAGCTCCTGCTATCTATTGTTGACGCTGTTTGTGCGAAAATGGGCGGAGCTCCCTTCGATCCAACCTTGAAATGTGCGTACACATGCGGCTTGTAGATTTGCTTGTATCTAGTAATACGGTAAGACTTAATCTATTGCATGAAAAAAGTCGATTAAGAGGGCATTTAGCGGATGAGTCTGTCTCGGTTTCGCGAGTCAGATACGCAATACCTTAGTTTCCAGTAGAAGTTTACAAAGGATCTTGCTCAAATCTAGTCAGATACCCGTAATTCTTCCAATTATACTTCCAGAATATCATTCGTATTTGCGATTCTGCCGTAGGTGTGCTTTTGGTTTACTGACATCGAGCATTTAACCCAAAGGTAACCCTTTCTAGGACGTGCCACAGCTTCTTCGAAATAATGGGCATGTTACCTTACCACGACCTGTTAAGTATATTCGGTGGTAGGGTGGCCCCTTAACATGTTACAAATCTCGTTGCATTTGTATCGCCGCAAGTTGTATTTCGCCTCCATACCTGACTGCACAGATTTTGACTTCATAAATTGCTTACTTGATCGCATAAATTTACGCTGTTATGCGCGTTAACTCAGTGGCTGTACGCAAATCAACTTGGGGTCCTGCCAGATGTGAGGTCCGTTAAGTGAATGCACCGCCATACAGCAGGCCTCAGAGACAATTTCACAAAGCCTCCTGAAATATCAGTAAAAAACATTTTTTTCACATGTTTCAAGTGTTACTTTTAGTTTAAGGATCAATTGGACACATTAGGGACGCTGCGTGGTCACAGAACAAGCAATATTGCCGGTCAGTTCACGACAGGTCTTATATCGGCTCACTGGATAAAATGCCCTCGGCGTTCCCCCCTCATTTCGTCAAGCATAGGCACTGCCTCGTTAGTTGATCGTGCGTTGTGCAACTCGTCCTTAACTTCAAATCGTCATGTACTTCTTGCACTTATTTCAGAGTACTTTATCTAGGGTGGTCTCGTAGAATTTCCACAGAATGTATTCTTTGTAAGCTCCTATTTTTAGGCAAGCCCTGGTGATGCAGGTCTATTCAGGGTCACTATTTAGAACCCTGATGCGTAGATTTGGTGTTCGAGACTACTTTTGAGCGTCCGTTAAAAAACGTTTTAGTTTATTAAATTGCTGTTGCAGTGCTTAAAGGTAAATGGGAGATGCTAAGGTGGGTCAAGAATTACGTGAATTCTGTTTTTAGTGTTCTTTTTGATACAGACAACCTTATTAATTCCTTTCAGTCAAAATCACCTGCACATGTGAGCACATTACGACAGTCGATCTGTTATCGTTGTGTGGGAAAATTGGCTACCGCATATGTGACTTGAACCGGAGGGAAAACTTGTTGCAATGCCGTTTTTTGTAGCCTGGACGCTCGCCTCGTTCCTCGTGCACAGAATTGAAATAGTTATTTGACGCATAAAAGCATTAGCCATGCGCATGAAGTGGTTCTGTATCGTAAGCAATTGACAATGGACTTTGATTCCGAAGGGTTTGTGTGAGATCGGTACTGAAAGTACTCTTGGAGTTGCCTAACTTGAAGTCCTTGATCATGTGCATAGAACCTGGCTGGTACCTGAATGAAATTCGGGGATTATTTACAGAAGTCACCGCTGGTGACTGGGCGTAACTTTAAATATGTAGGTTCAATTATAATTGAAAATTCAAAAACTACCCATCAGCTGAGAAGTATAAGCGATAATATAGGAAGCCTAATTCACGATCTGCAACTTACTACAACGTTTCTTTAACAAAAAAGCGATGAAATTTACTGAAAATTCAGAAGAGTGCTTAGAACAGCTCCGTCTATCCGGGCTCTTAAACCTTTCTGTTCAGGACTTTGGTAACGTTCTACGTCGCAAACATTTCTTGGTCATCTCTCGTATCTGGCAAGATATATCCTGTGTTATATTTGCAATCGTTAGTGGAGTTTAGTTTCCAGTTTAAATTTTGTCTGAGTTTCAGTCAGTTATTTTCCTACTTGATACTCTGACCGCAACATTTGTATTACTTTTTTCAATCTGTCGCCAAATCTCTTGTCTTGAAGTGCCGGCACCGACAGGGCAAGAGGTTAAGACAATTGTGTAGTCTAATGGAGACCCGTTCTGCCAAACATAAAGTTGACATCTTGCAACGACTAAGGTAAAGCTATTAATACAATTGTTAAAGACGACTAGTTATTTTTGCTGATGAATTTGAACGAATAATACTTTGCCAGTCTGTAGTCTGGAGACGTTGTAATTTATGGGGCAAAATCAACGCTATTCTTCCAATATAATGACAACATTACCGATCGGATTGATTGACTTGTAAGCCCACATTTTCTATCGCTTTAAAAAAATAACATTCATTTTGAACTTGCAAGGTATTATCTTTGTAATATGTTTGTTGTGTTAATTTCTCATCATTTCATAAAATGGGTAAATAAATACTTTATTCTTCCGTGGTGATGGCGTCGAGTCTCCTTAAGGTGTAAAAGTGAACCCCATTTCGAACACTATCACTTCTGCTATAAATGTCATGCGCAGGGCTTTTTTTCATTTACCCGAAACTGGACTAGGTGCACCTTCATTGATTCGTCTGTTGTCGGCTTATTTTTGTCTTCGTTTGCCTACGAAAATAGCTCAACTTATCCACCCACGCTATTCCCGTTTAACTGATTTCGTGTCTTACTACTACGAGGACTACATTTGTCCTAGACCGTCATTGTGAGTGCTACAGTTGCTTTCCAAAATGCCTCTTCGTCTGTGTCTGGTTCTTTACCTCGTTTTAGTCTCATCAACCTTAGTTTTCTGCTTACCGATATTCTCATATTCATTGTTGGATGGCATTCCTGCACTTTTCAGGTGTTCCATTTTCTCCATTTAGAACACTTAAGGCTATATTATTTTTGATGTATTGTTCCATATCAGCCTTCATTTAATAAACTCCATTTATCTCGGTCATGGACCATGTCCCTGTTACTGCAGGTCCGAAAACGCATTGTGTGTGGCTACTTTTGCACTTTTTCGGCATTGTTTTGGAGAGAATCAGTCAGTTGCGAAGTTGTTTCACTGGAATAGGAATCGGATAGTCACGCGTTGTACGTCAGCTTGTAATTCTATGGCCTCTCAAATCGTAATCAGAGACGGATTTTTAGTCTAGACTGCTACATTACTACGGGCTCAAATGTGCAGTCTCACAAACAAGCACTTGGTCCCCCATCTGAGTTAGCTCATCCCTTTACCCTTACTAAACGAGTTGGCTCGGTTCCGGAGAAATAGTGGCTGTCTTCTTTTGGTCTAACCGCACCGTCCGCAGGCATCCATTGTACATATACGTTAACTCGGGTTAGTTTTAAGAAAACTAAGGAATTGGATAATGGTTACCCTATTTTGCTAGTTTGGTAAAAGGCCGTCGTTTTCAATTGTTTAATCCTTAACTGCCTCGCCTTGGTGCTTGACAGGCCTACTGAACTTCAAGATGGCGGGTCTTCCAAACAGTCGCCCCCGTTCCCATTATCCCCTAATTTTGTTGCATAAATGCCTATTATGTGTTTTGAACACTAATTATTACCACTTTAAATGTAGCAGAGATTTACATAATGCACCCCGTGTTGTTCAGCCACCGGGTGATTTTTCTCGCAGTCACCCTATTTGCCGGAACGTGGGTCTTTTTTCAGACTGCCATCTCCCGCAATCGCTGCGCGGTTTAATATTGCACCTAGCTAGTCCTGATACTGGTTACCTCAAATTTTGACTGCGCTGCGAGCGTCATTATCCAGTCGATATCGCTTCATTTTAGACTTCATTAAACTCCATGCCGCTAATTCACTACGATAGCTTTATCCTCTTTTTTAAAAAATTCTATGGTTGTCTTCGGCAGTTATTCCCAAAAATGCTTAAAAGATCGTTCCTTTGTGCTCGAGGGCAATTCATATTGATACCCACAAGTAACTTCTATTTATTCTCTTATGGAACGTATACATTTTCTTGCTCGTGAACTTTATTAACTGGTTCGAGATTTTCATGCCAGGTAAATTTATTGATTTAAAAGTGCTTATTAAAAGATGGTTTCACTGTTACAACATGTAAGACTGAATTGTGGGTAAAGCATGGAATAAGTATATGATGTTTTGCGAGTTTCGACATGGTAATAGTACCACCGGTGCCATTATTTCTGTATTTGATGCCACCATAGATCTCAAAACTTGCC